TTTGTGTGTGTGTGTTTGTGTTTGTGTGTTGTGTGTGTTTGTGTGTGTTTGTGTGTGTGTGTGTTTGTGTTTGTGTGTGTTTGTGTGCACGTCCACTCATGTGGCAGGTCACTATAGGACAGTAGTGCAGATATTATGAGTCTATGCAGGTTTGTTTTCACCAGTGCCAGTAGCTCCTGTTTCACATTTAAGTTGTAGGCGATTTTATATTTGTTTTTTATATATATATCTCACATCGGGAGAAGAATTTCCAAGACACAAATGCGTTTTTACCAATGCACTGCTGCTTCCACTGTGTGACTGACACCGCCAACTTTAACATGACGTTTACATCGCTCTTATTGCGCGCGTTCTGTTTGGGTTTCTGGCAATGAGTGAAATTACCAAAATAAAAAAATAAATAAATGCGAGGTAGCACAAAATGTGAAAACAGGAAAATACCGCCTTGTAATCCACTTATTTCAGCAAAGTAACTGTAATCCAATTACCACTCATTGAAACAGTAACTGTAACTGAATACAGTTACTCATAATTTGTACTCTGATTACATAACGGCGGTACATGTAATCTGTTACTCCCCAACACTGGATCTATGTTATAATGTTTCCTCATTGCAAACATACCTGTCGCGTCTAGTAACAACCCACGTTACTAGACGCGACTAAAACGTTTGCTGTTGTTTGTAGGGTGCGATTTGTCCATGTTTGTGTTGTTATTCTGTGGATGTCGCGCGGCGTGACAGAAAATAACTGAGAAGCACTGGTCTAATTTAACTTAAGAACTACTACTTCATGAGCAGTGTTGGGAAGGTGACTTTTAAAATGTATTCCCCTACAGATTACAGATTACATACCCCAAAATATAGTTTTTAACAGAATCCATTAAATTACTTAAAGTGAGTAATGTAATCTGAATACTTTGGATTACTTGATTTGCTGTAGAGAAGCAAAGACGAGGAAATCTTCACATAAGAAGTTTTGTTTGCTAAAAGAAAATAAAAAACCCAGACTTTACTGAACCAAATTAAAAATATTATTGATAGAAGACGAGGAGACACGTCCACGCAGCTTTAGTCCTGTTAACTCCTGTTTTAGTCCTGGTTTAGTCCTGGTTTAGACTTGGTTTTAGACCTGGTTTTAGTCCTGGTTTAGTCCTGGTTTAGACCTGGTTTAGATTTAGTTTAGACCTGGTTTTAGTCCTGGGTTTAGACCTGGTTTTAGTCCTGGTTTAGTCCTGGTTTAGTCCTGGTTTAGTTCTGGTTTAGATCTAGTTTAGTCCTGGTTTTAGACCTGGTTTTAGTCCTGGTTTAGACCTAGTTTAGACCTGGTTTAGATCTAGTTTAGACCTTGTTTTAGTCCTGGGTTTAGACCTGGTTTTAGACCTGGTTTTAAGATCTAGTTTAGTCCTGGTTTTAGTCCTGGTTTAGTTCTGGTTTAGATCTAGTTTAGATCTTGTTTAGACCTGGTTTTGTCCTGGTTTTAGTCCTAGTTTAGTCTGGTTTAGTTTAGTTCTAGTTTTAGATCTAGTTTAGATCTAGTTTAGACCTGGTTTTGACCTGGTTTTAGTCCTGGTTTAGTCCTGGTTTAGACCTGTTTTAGTTTAGTTTAGTCCTGTTTAGGTTTAGATCTAGACCTGGTTTAGTTTCCAAAAAAAAAAAAAAAGGGGTTAAAAAAGGGGGTTAGTTTCAGCCCAATGAGTAATTACCAAAAAAAAAAAAGAAAAAAGGGGGTTATAGCCCAAAATGTGAAATCAGGAAAATACCTCCATGTAATCACTTTATTTCAACAAAGTAACTGTAATCCAATAATTTGTACTCTGATTACATAACTCCGGTACATGTAATCTGTTACTCCCCGACACTGTTCATGACATCACAAGGTGGCACAGAGCATTTGGAGCTTTGGGGATGTAGAGACCAATAATAAGAGTCAGTTTTGCGTAATATAAAACCTTTAACCTGCCTTTTCACAAACTGTTTGCACCGTTTCGTTATCACTCGAGGAAAATTCCCGCTGAAACGAAAGAAGCTCATTGATGGTGTTTTCAAAGCAGATGCTAACCTCTCGGAAACGCCGGATTTTTGTTCGGTCGTATGTAAATGGCTCTGGCTGGCAGTTTGCGGCGAGTGGAAGAGACAGCTCAGTAATGCCTGGTTTGTTTAGTTTGCTCAGCTTTTAATATTGGGTTCATTTATGCAAACAGACTGTGGCAGACTACAAATGTGTGAACTCGGATAACACGCGGAGAATATAGTCGCGGTAATGGTGAAATAAATGTTAATGCCAGGAATGCACGATGTTGGAATATTTTATAACTTTGTAGAGTTATAAAATATTGTAAGTACTGGGTTGTAACAGAAGTTTGTGTAGGGTTTATTTAATTATAATAAAACTTGTTGACATTTTTTATAAGAGGTAATGGGACTAAATCAAAAAAACTGCAAACAAATCATCTTTTCCCCACGTACATTTTCCGTTTTTGGCTTTGTAACATAAAGTTTTACATCCCTCAGTTGGTAAATCTTAGCAGTAAACTTGATTTTTACTGTGTTAAAAATCCAAAAAACACTACTAGTTCATTTGAAATGGTCCAAAGTTATTTCTGACTTTCCAAAACGCATTCCTAGGATCCTAATTTTTCACCGCAGTGAGTTTATAAGAGCTTTTGATCGCTTTCAGAAACCAGAGCGGAGGTTTGTAAGTGTTAGTTTGTGTGACACGTAACGATATCCAAATCTCTCGGTACGATATTATCGCGATATGCGTCTCACGGTACGATATTTATTGCGATATTTTGGAAAGGCTGATATAATTGTAGATAGGACACTTTTTATGCGTTTAAAATTCCCTGACAAGATTTTGGTGTGAATTATTTCTGTCATAACCCCAAGAATTCAAGTAAAAAACATATTTCTTCATGTTGTCTGCGCTGAAATGAATCATGGGATATGTAGTTCCCGATGTTTACTAGCTATTGCTACTATAAAACCATGCATTTAAGCAAGGATTTTGTAATTTGATATATTGTGACATTATTGTGAGACTTTTGACGGTACGATATCACGATATTTCAGTTATTGTTACATCCCTAGTATTTAATATAACATTTTGACAATATTTCAGAAATATACAATAAATCCATAATAGTGAATTGTAATAGGACTAAATGGCCTTAGCGTTAGGGATGTAACAATAACTGTATCATCAGAAGTCTCCCAATAATACCATGGGCCATCACACATTTCTTTGATTAAATTCGCTATTATGGTGCAAAAACAGAGAGAACTACATAGACCAGGGGTGTCAAACTCATTTTGGTCCGGGGGCCGTATCCAACCGACTTTGATCCCAAAGGGGCCGGATCAGAAAACTCATGACATATAAACCCCAAAAATAACAATAAGTTCAAATATTTGTGCAGAGAAACGCAAATCTATTACAGAAATCTTTTTTTAATTGATGAACTCTTTCTTTTACAAAATATTATAATATCATGAACAACCTGAAACTTTAAGAAAAATGTCATTTCAATACAATGTTTTAACTTTAACTTGTATGTAAATAGGAATTAGTCAATTTTTTCTTGGAAAATCCTGCACTCGGCTCCACTTTTCTCATTTTTGACATTTTGTTGATGAGGGTGTCACGGTCAACAGTCAAAACGATCGTCCTTTAAGAGCGTTTGGAAAGAGACAAGTCTTCATTTGTGCTGCTCTGGTGGGAGGGGCCACGTACAGAGGCACTGGAGATGCTGCTATGCTAAACGACCACAGAAAATTACCAATATTTTAATAAGAAATATAATTAAAATATTTTAGTAGGAAATCAGCCGAGGGCCAGATTAAAGGTCTTGGAGGGCCGGATCTGGCCCCCGGGCCGTATGTTTGACACCCGTGATATAGACCATGATTCTTTGCTCTGTTTCAGTCCAATCTACACGATGAAACAACTGTTATTAAGCACTTTAAAATCTGAATTATTTGGATTACGGCAGTTTTGTTAGTTTCCACAAAATATCTTTATAAATATCGTACCGTGAGATGCACATTGTGGAAATACTGTATCGAGAGGTTTGGACATTGTTACATCCCTGCTTAGCATTCAAGACTGTATCTCATTTTTCATGTCTTAAAAACATGAATCGTAGCTTTTTAGAGAGCAGGGTTTTGCCATCAGTGAAATGCTTAAAAACAACTAGCATGCTAACAGTGCACCAGCATTACTTTCTAGTTCGTAGACGATGAAAACACTTTATTATTAGAAAAAAACAGCACACAACGATCTCGTTTTGACCCTAGGAGTTCTTTTTTACAATATATCTGTACTGGGGCGAGCATGGTTTAGATTACTACATGAAAACAAAATTGAATACAGCCCTTTTACTGTCATATATTTAGTATATTTGACTTTGTGTTCATGTACAGCTCTTTGTAGCACTGATTACGTGTTGTTTTCTTGCAGGATCGTGTGTGAGATGGGCCGAGCTGAGACCAGTCAGTACACAGGGAACGTGCAGGTCTGTGTGGGAGTGGGAGAGTGCAGACCCGAGTTTATGGCAAAATCCTCCAAATACTATTACTTCGTGGTGAGTCACTTTCTGTACAACAATTCAGATTTACACAACATCGTCTCACACTTTACATTAACTCATCTTACCACTAAAACACAAGGGAACTCAAATGTTTTAATAATAATAATACAAAAAAAAAACATTCAGATGGCTGCTGAGGTTCCTATTCTTGTGTTGTATTGTAATTTTATGGTATATATGTGTATTTAAATGCATACCTAGTTTTGTTACTAGAGTTATTATCTGGGTTTTGATACTTTTGACAACCCATATCACCTTAAAACAGATGAAAAGGCCAATCTACTGATCATTTATATCAAGGATCACCAAACGTTTTTTTCTCTGGGGGCCACATTTTCGCTCCTGACTGATGTGGGAACAGAATTCTGACGATCCTGACGATGCAGATTATATTTTTTTGAAAACCGTCACACTTTCTTTGCATATCAGACAAACTGCACTGTCCTTACTAGGGATGGGCATTCGATGAAATTTTCTTAATCGATCGTCGAGAGAATTAACGATCGATTATCGATTAATCATTAACGTTTTTATATTAAAATGATCATCATTATTATTACTATCTGCACTACTAATCTGCATAAAAAAATTCAACTATACGACAAATAAACCGTAACGACTCTAGAGCCACATCAGCCCGTTTATTATAATGTGTTTAATTCAGTTTTGTGCAACTCTCACAGAAACGAAACTTAAAACCGCATCACTAATTTGCATAAACTAAGAGAAGATAAAACTACAGCTGTTGTGTCGCTGATGTGGTCAATTTCTGTTGGATTAAAAGACATGATATTTGCGTTTGTCAAAACCAGGACACCGTACGGGGGGAGGGAGGTGGGGACTCGTCATGGACATTGCGCGACTCTCACCTGGTAAAGCTTTTTCCCACTGGACACAGAAACATATGTGCTGCTTTGTTCACTGTGCACATGGACTCACACTTGTCCCGACCGGAATGGAAAATGTGGAATTTCTTGTACAAGTCATCGTTAAATACGCATATGCACTTCGGTACTTACAGGCGGACTGACTGTTTGTGTTTGCTCGCTCATTCTGAGTGCAGAGAGCTACTTGTACGGACCTCTGTTTGGTCAGGCTACGCACAGCAACCTACATTCGGTTTGTCGATTAAAATTTACGTAATCGATGAAATTCTTAATGATCAATTATTGATTAATCGACTAATCATGCCCATCCCTAGTCCTTACACTGAACAAAAAAATAATTAGTCATCCACAGTTTTTTGAAAACTCTGCCCTCTCTGTCAAGTTTCAAGTGTCAAGTTTTAAGGCTACGTTTATATGAGGACAGTCTGAACAGAAGACGAAAAAGTGGCGTCGCGTTTTCACTTTTTATTCCGCGTTTAGACGAGCGTTTTCGGGAGGAAATTTGTGTGCATACGGTGATGCAAAAGCGTGGAATTCGATTGGGTCTGCATGACAGATGACTAGGTGGTGACTCCAGGTGTTGATGTATGTGACGTAAACTCGTACGCGACGTGAGCAGATCTGACCAGAGTTTTGCGTCTTGGGCAGTGCAGACGGAAACGCTACGGCGGAGCGTATTCAACTTTTCCACTCTGGAGGTGGTTTCAGATTTTTGCATTTTTAAGCCCCAAAAACTGCATCACCATCTAAACAAAAGGCACTTCCGATTAAATATTTTGTAATTTTTACAAGCAAGCGTTCTCGTGTAAACAGGCCTTAACTCTTAACTGCACTACAAAACTCTGCGCGTGCGTCGACTGTCACTGTTTGATCTCGAGCTTGTCAGGTGACGAAAATTCGGCAGCAAATGTAAATACGTCATAAAATCTGTTAGAAAGCCCAGACACTAAAACACCTTACAAAACAGCACTGACTTGGAACGCACTTTAGAAAATGGGGGCAGGTGGGGGGCTGTTTGTTTTTTAAAGACAGTTTTTTAAAGACTGTATTTGACATACAATATTTTAACTATTTATTCTTATTATTATCTATGCTGCTGTTGACCTGGACCTGAGTGCCGTGTTTTGTTTCTGTGTATTTTTTTTTTATACTGAAATGACAAATAAATTCTGATTCTGATTCTAATTATTTTTAAATTGAAAATCAACTAAATACAAGATGCAGACGTGTTATTATTTGCCAAAAAGTAATATAAAAAAACACCTTGACAACTTTTGAGGATTGCTTCATAGGGCTTTAGTTTGATGACCCCTAATTTATTTGGTAATAACCCAACAGTTTGCAGTTAGATCCCAGCCTCTATCGGTGCACGCTGACATTTAAGCTGCGTTCAGACTGCAGCCTGAAGTGACCCAAATCTAATTTTTTGGCCTCTATGTGACCTGTATCTGATCTTTTAATGACAGTCTGAACGACACAGATCCGATTTTTTCAAATGTGACCAGGACACTTGGATATGTGCTCCTGAAACCGATACATATCTGATCTTTTGACATGTGACTTCAGTCTGAACGGTCAAAACGCATTCATCCACCTACACGTTATCAACAAGCCACAAACGTCACTATTCTGCACTGAAGTAGGCGAAAATTGTTAATGAACTCTGTGTCACTGAAGTGAAGCACATCACCACTCACCACTCTTGGCTACGTCTCCACATCCACACGTTCCTTTCAACGGACGTCGCTGCCGCTGATCCACAAAACACCACGACCAAAAACTTCGTCCTTCTCCTTCTCAGTCTCCTTAAAACAAGTTGTTCACGTTCAGGCTCCGGTACGAGAGGAACTTTAAAATCTCCAGGTGCTCAATGCTCGCGTCCATGTTTGGACAACTTCCGTAAACACAGAGACGCTCGCTGCGGTTGACGTCGTCGTGTCTCCAGTGCACATGCGGGACACTTTCGGGCCGTTTACTGTCCAAACTGGAGTCACATACAAGTCGCATTTAATTGGAAATGTGAACGACCTCGCAAAAACATCGGATTTCACAAAAAAATCGTAATTGAGCGTTAAGCCCTGCAGCCTGAACGTAGCCTATGTCCTTGAGCAAGACACTTTACGCATGAGTGATGATTGGCGGCCAGAGCGCGTAGTGGTGAAGAGACAGAAGGCAGCTAGAGTGAATGAATAAACAATATAAAGCTCTGAATATATTGAAACGCACTGTTCAGATCCAAGACATTTTCATTATTATTGTTACATACATCGTACTGTAAACTGTGACACCATCTGAACCGATATTAATCCCCACTCTCCTCTTCCCTTCTTCCGCACTCAGATACCCAGAATCCTCAGCATTAAACCGAACCGCGGGCCTGTTTCCGGGGGAACCATCGTCAACATCACCGGAAGCCACCTGGACGCCGGGAGCAACGTGTCCATCATGTTTAAGGACCAGCCGTGCACGTACCTGAGGTGAGAGAGGAGCCAATGTGGAGACTGTCACTCACACTTCAGCACTCAATTAACGGCTCTGTCAAAGCCAACGGGAGCCTATCAGCCCGAGGAAGCCGGCTCAAACACTCTGACCTTGGGGGGAAACCTGCCGGTGTTAGTGTGAAGGTTAAAATAGCGAGGAATAAATCGGCGGAACATCTGTGTGAATATCTGATTTATTTATTTAATATTTTATCTGAAGGTTGCGAAAGATTCCTGGTGAAAAGTACACAGTGTGCCTTCCACGTTTTAGTTAAAGCTGTTGTGTGTAACTTTTCTGGTGCGGGATTTGTCTCCGTGGAGATGTGACCGTTTTGCCTTGAGTACGGAAATAAACTTTGTAATCGCGATGGAGACGTTCAGATTTACGGAGAAGTAAGCCTGCACGTGGTATGAATTCATGTTTTTTATGGTGTTTTTGAGCTATAGAACAACAATAACTGAACAAATGGAAGGCTGATATGTTTAATGCTCTACTGTGGAACATTCCAGACAAACAAATAACATCTCCACGGGACAAGCAAGTAGCGGACTCGCCACTTTGGAAGTTACATAGTGCATCTTTAAAGCTGCTTTATGTAACTTTTCTGGTGGAGGATTTGTCCCTCACTTTTCTCCATCCAGATTTTAATGGTCTCCAGTGTTGGGCGTTATAAAAGTAATTTAAGGCATTACAGGAAAAAAATAAATACATTTTTACTTGGTACAATGCATACTGACAGTGCATTTTTAACCTGGATTGAAGTGGTGGGTTTTTCGTTTTTCTTCATCCAAATTTGCTAAAATCACCGTGATATCAGCAGCGGTGAAACGCCATTGTTACGGTTCTGAGTGTCGGGACGGGCCCAGAGGTGCACCCTCGTAGACCGTTAGATAACCACGGGCAAAAGGACCGAGACAGAACTCCACGACCCATGGGGCGAATCACAGCTGATGCCCGATCGCGTTTTTTGGACACCCTGGTCCGCGGGCTCAGGGTTCTCTCAGGGGCGGTCCTAGATTCCAAGTCCTAGTCCAAGATTAGTCCTTGTTCAGTTCTGGTTTAGTCCTGGTTTAGTCCTGGTTTAGTCCTGGTTTAGTCCTGGTTTAGATCTGGTTTAGTCCTGGTTCAGACCTCGGATTAATCCTGGCTTAGTCCTGGTTCAGTCCATATACAGCGCAAAAGTTCGGCATCTTCACACACTTATCTTGGTGAGAGTAACTTAAAGTGCTGCAATAGTCTTGTAATGTTTTACATTTTAAATACAGTAATATTATAATTTAACAAATTACTTTGAAATGACAGTAACAAATAATAAATAACGCATTACAGTTCTGGAGTAAGTTGCCCAACAGTAATGGTTTTCTGGAATGTTCCACAGTGTAACATAAAACATATTATGTTTTTATGGAGACAAGCAGGTGACTCCACTCACAGTATAACAAGACTTGTTTTTAAAGGTGCATTTGAGAAGAAAAAAAAAGTCTTTCAATTTCCAGACCAAGAAATAAAAAAACATCTGATGCTATATTTATGATGTTTTTTTCACCAAAATCCTTAACCTTTTTATTTTGTAGAAGTTATGTTAGGAGTGTTAGGAATCAACTTTTTCTTTTTCTTTTATTTATAAAGTAAACATAAATATAGTTTCCCAGGTTCCAGAAATGCATCGTCATAACCTTTGTGTGTTTATTTGCTGTAGGAGGGGCGGTCTGTGGCTCACCTGCCGCACTCACGCGTCTCTGCACGGTTACGGGAACGTGTCCGTGTCCGTGAGCATCGACAGGGCCCATCTCCAGAAGGACCTGAGGTTCGAGTACGTGGAGGATCCCACCATCACCAGGATCGAGCCCGAGTGGAGCATCTACAGGTGCAGGAGACAAGTCGACACGTGCTTATGGAAACGCTGTGAGATTTGTATGTAATATTATAAATGTTTTTTGTTTTTCAGTGGGCATACACCAGTGACAGTGACAGGAACTAACCTGGACATCATTCAGACTCCACTGATCAGAGCCAAGTACAACGGACACGAGACACTTAATGTAAGACAATTCTTTACTTTCCCTAAACTATGGAAATAAACAAGATGTAAAATCTGATACAAGGGCTTAATCAGAAACAATAAATCCTCTGTGTTTTGGTTAAAGTGAGGATATTTTTAATCCAGCCCTACACATGAATGTCTCAAGTCCTATGCAGTTTAGTAACTCTTTGGCAACTTTCACAACGGCACAAAAACCACATTAAAATTAGGAATAAACCTGGAATTAAACCTGTACTAGACAAGGACTAAACCAGGGGTGTCAAACTCAAATTCACAGAGGAGTAAAATTAAAAACTGGGACTAAGTTGTGGGCCAAATTAAATATTTATTGAAAAATTTCAACAACATCTGCATGTTTTATCTTCTTTCAAAACGGTTTCTTATTAAAATAAATGTTTAATAATAGTTTTGCTTAAACACTGAATCCAGAACAAGCATAATATAAAATAATAACAACATTTTAAATAAATAATGTCTATATAGTCTATCTGTAGCCGGCGGGCAGCTCCAATACATATAAATATGTATTATATTGCGGGCCATATTTGACCCCCAGGCCTGAGTTTGACATGTCTGAACTAAACTAAAAAAACTAGGCTAAACAACTGGACATTCATGAATGTACAGACCCAAGAAGCTATTTTAACATTAAGGTCCTATATTACACATAAATTACTCTTTAAGCTTTAAGCCATGTCAATAACGTACCAAGAGTTGCGTTTTCTTTCATTCACACATATTTGAGTAACTCTTTATTATTAATTTGTCAATATTTCCAAAGCTCAAAATGCTCCGTTCCACATTGTGATGTCATGAAGCAGTCGTTTTCAGCTACATTTTAAGTTTTGTTTTAGTTTTGATTGACAATTCCAGGGGCTGAAGTCATTGAAATGATTCTAATGAAGGCGTGTGGAGTTTAAAAACACAGTGGAGCACTTTCTGTATTACCACATGACATGAAAAGGCAGAGTGTTTTTTGTTTGGAGGAAGAACACAGCCTAAATATGTGTGATTTGTGTGTTAGGTATGTTTTAACGTGTTTTTGATGAGGAAACAACATTATAACATAGATCAGAAAATAGCGTGATATTGGCCTTTCAACATTAAAATGATAAAAGTCATGAATAGTTCTTGATAGTTATTGCAATTAGCACTTCAGTGTTTACTAAATATTGGTATAACAGCTCTTTTAGCTCCGTGTTACTCAATCTTTTATTCAGAGACACTTGACACGTCGTCTGTGACTCTGTTGTTTATGTCAGGATTTCATGTGGTGATACAGTCAGCGCTCCACTCTCTACTGAACAAAAGGTAAAATTAACTTGAAAACTACCGCTTCATGACATCACAAGGTGGAACGGCGCATTTTCAGCTTTGGAAATGTAGACAGACGGACAGAGGTGGGACTTGCAGGTCGTGAGTCACTATTTTTAGGACTTGAGACTCGATAAAATGGACTGGAACTTCGAACTCGACTTGGACTTGAAGGTCAGTGACTTGGGACTTGACTTGGACTTGAGAAGACTTGAAAAGCACTTTTAAATACTCCTACTTGTGTTATTTTTTTATTGAAGTAACAGTACTCTTACTTGAGTAAAGGTTTTATTTACTTTTCTCACTGTGAGTAAATCTACAAGTGACAAAAGCTTAATGTTGACAATATGAAATTATTTGAACATTTGTGTTTCTTGCAGCATCATTCAAATATAATGTAGTTTTTTTGTTTATTTATTTATTTTTTTGTCTCTCTCTTGGACTTGGGATTCGACTCGGACTTGAAGGTCAGTGACTTGGGACTTGACTCAGACTTGAGGCCTGTGACTTGAGAAGTCTTGAGAAGCACTTTTAAATCTGAATTCTTTCTATTCTGACCGTAAAGATTCACTCTAAGATCTCATCAAGACATTTAAAAAGGACAAATTAACATTTCTACAATACTTACATACTCTATAAATACTCATGTATAAATATACTTAGATTTTTTAAGTGCAATTTAGTTGAAAATGAATATAAATTGCAAAAAATCTCAGCTATATTTGATTTAAAAACTTGAAATTACTTGAAGCTTGACTTGGACTTATGGGCCACTGACTCGAGATTCGACTTGGACTTGCCTGTATTTGAGTCGGGACTTGACTCGGACTTGAGGTCAAAGACTTGAGACTTACTTGAGACTTGCAAAACAACGACTTGGTCCCACCTCTGCAGACTAAATAACTAAATAAAGGATTACTCCAACGTGGGTGAATGAAACAAAACACAACTCCGGGTCTGTTTTTGAAGAGTCTAACATGACCTGAAGCTCACAAAGACTCGATTTTGTGTAATGTAGGACCTTTAAGTAACCTCAGACATATTTTCACTAGAGGTACACCAAGGTAAATGGGTCGGAGCTACAGTAGGGCGTAAACGGCGTACTGTGAGTCAACAGGTGGCGTCTGAATAAAGAGAAAGTGATAACAAAGCTGGAGTCTGACCCTCGTCAAATTCGCTGTGTGTCTGTGGCGTTGTGGCACCCAGGGGAGGTGTATTAAAGGGTGCTGCGAGCTGATTGAAAACACAGGGAGTGACAAAGGGGGTAATGCTCGCTTCATGGTCCATTTGAGCCGGGTCACCATCCATATTTAACATCTGTGCGGCTCTGTGATTAGAATACTGAGCCACTGCGTCTGAACCCAACTATACTGCAACACGAGATCATGTTTCAGTCACTTCTTGGCCTATTACTTGTTTGACCTTTAAAAGAAATTGTACTTTTCACGAGTACTTTTCTAGCAGCGTATTTTTACTCCTTCTTGAGTTATATTTTTATGGAAGTAACAGTACTTTTACTTGAGTAAAGGTGGGTAGTGTGTAGCTATGTTCACTTGTGTAACTTTTTAAAGAAATTGTACTTTTCACGAGTACAATTCAAAAGTACAACGGACATGAGAATTCTTTACTTTCCTTAAACTATGTAAATAAACAATCTGTAAAATCTGTTAAAAGGCTTTAATCAGTTAAACTATGGACAAAGTTAGTGAAAGTTTGAGTTGTTGTTTACAGTAGATCAGACTCAAATTCACAGAGGCCAAAATTAAAAACTGGGACTAAGTCGTGGGCCAATCTAAATATTTATTGAAAAATTTCAACAACATCTGCATGTTTTATCTTCTTTCGAATGTAATGTTAAACCTTTTCTTATTAAAATAAATGTTTAATAATAGTTTTGCTTAAACACTGAATTCAGAACAAGTATAATATAAAATAATAACAAGATTTTAAATAAATAATGTCTCTATAGTCTATCTGTAGACAGCGGATCAGCTCTAATACATATTTCATATGATCACGTGGACCAAATATAATTATATCATGGGCCAAATTTGTCCCCTGGGCCTGAGTTTGACATGTTTGCAATAGAAGATCTAAAGAAAATATTGTATATCTTTAACAAAGTAAATCCCCTGTGTTTTGGTTAAAGTGAGGTTATTTCTAAGACAGTCCTACACCTGAATCTTACGTTTACTTGTGTAACTTTAACTTTTATTTGTACATGTCATGAGTACTTTTCTAGCAGCATACTTTTACTCCTCCTTGAGTTATATTTTTATTGAACTAACATTACGTTTTAGTTCCTTTTCCCACTGTGAGTAAATCTACAAGTGAAAAAAGCTTTATGTTGATAATATGAAATTATTTGAACATTTGTGTTTCTTGCAGCATTGCTTCAGATATAATGTAGTTTTTTTATTTTTTATTTTATTTTGTGTACCAGTTTTGGGCTTTATTTAATGTTTTGTCGTTCAAATTACATAACTTAGATGTTACTCACTGACAGTTACTCTTTAAAGGTACACTGTGTAACTTTTTTGTTTTGTGGGGACCATCACCTGGTCGTTTCTATGGAGATGTTCCACAGTAGGACATTAAACAGCTCTACTTTACATGTGTTCAATTACAGGGGGTTTTTAAAGCTCAAAAATACCTTGCAAAACAGACATTCTTACTATGAGCGGGTTCGCCTCTCCACAGATCTGACCTGTAACTTGGTCTGGTTTTGTCTTTAATGCCACACTGTGAAACATTCCAGACAAAGCAACAGCATCTCCATAGAGAAAAGCATTTACAAACGTTACACAATGTACCTTTAAGTTGCTCTTACTTGAGTAGTAATTTTCCCAAATACTTTTTTTTACTGGGCCTTTTGTACTTCTACTCTACTACTACTACTACTACTACTACTACTACTACTACTACTGCTACTACTACTACTACTACTACTACTACTACTACTACTACTACTACTACTACTACTACTACTACTACTTCTACTACTACTACTACTACTACTACTACTACTACTACTACTACTACTACTACTACTACTACTACTACTACTACTACTACTACTACTACTACTACTACTACTACTACTACTACTATACTACTACTACTACTACTACTACTACTACTACTACTACTACTACTACTACTACTACTACTACTACTACTACTACTACTACTACTACTACTACTACTACTACTACTACTACTACTACTACTACTACTACTACTACTACTACTACTACTACTACTACTACTACTACTACTACTACTACTACTACTACTACTACTGGTACTACTACTACTACTACTACTACTACTACTACTACTACTACTACTACTAGCAGCTACTACTACTCTTTGTTCAAATGAGAGTAATTTATTCACATTTTATTTTTTGGTAAGAGTCACACTAATAGAAGCACTGTGTATTTAATCAAATTTTAATTGAGATTCAGAGATTTCTAATTAATAACTGTCAATGATCAGCGTGGGTCTTTTTAATGAAGAGGTCCACAGCCAATCATCTGTCTCAAAAACATGGGAGAGGAAGAAATTTCACTATTTTTGTGGCGATGATTAAAAGTCTGTTTTCTTTATACTCCGGAAATTAATATTGAAATCCATTTGTAATCGTTTTTATTGAGAAATTTTTTAATTAAATTGAAAAAA